ATTTTAGTAGTTCTGATGGATTCTGGTAGTAAGGTTTCAAGATTTTATTTCATTTTTATATATATATATATATATATATATATATATATATATATATATATATATATATATATATATATATATATATATATATATATATATATATATATATATATATATATATATATATATTTATATGTATAAATATATAGTGATTTCGCCGATTATCCGTTTTATTAATTTGTACTTAACCGACTATTCGGTAAATTAGTGACACTTTCTGAATACAGAATCTTTTAAATTTCAACCATCGCGACGGTTGCATATATACGCTACGATGATATAAATATAAACGATATAAACGCTACGATGCATCGTAGCGTTTTAAACTTATTTTTTTAAAATTAATGTTAAAGAGTACATTTTCAAGACAGTTATTGAAGACAGTCCTATATTATATATTTATAACAAAACATGGAAAAAGATATATATTTTTTATATTATAATATAATATACTTTTTTAATTATATAATTAAATAAGGTAGAAATAATGTACAAGTATAGTTTAAATGTTTTAATATCAGCGGATGTTCTAAAATCATTCTCTCATATAAAAACATTTGATTTGGAAAAATTAGATATTATGAAGTAAATTTTTTTAGCGTGTATTTTAAAAACTCATTGTTATGCAGATTTAGATGGAAACAGATAAACTTAAATGTTCTCAAAACAAATTGTTGCGGAAAGATAATATAAAGAATATTTGCTAACATAAAAATACCGCCAAATCTACGAATAAACAAATTCTATTGGCTCAAAAAATACGCTGAATAAGCGAATTAGAGTTCCAGAATATTCTGAAGAAACTTTCTTAATGCATTGCTTGAGTTGTAAAAGTAATAAATCTTTGAGATTTCTATTGTAAATTGTTTTAAGAATATATTATCAAACAAAAATGATTAAATTTACATTTAAATTAATAAAAAATATATATTATAATCTTTGATAAATTAACATTTGTCAAACAATAATCGTCATAATTACGTTGTTACTTTCTGTAAAATTTTTAAGGCGGTTTTTATTATTCAAAAATAGATACTTGATATTCGAACAAAATCCGGTTAACCGCAAAACCGGATAACCAACGAAATATATATATATATATATATATATATATATATATATATATATATATATATATATATATATATATATATATATATATATATATATATATATATATATATATATTGTTATTTACCTCCCCCAGGGAGAGATACCCATTACAGTTGAGGAGATAACTTTTTTGTGGTAAAAATCTCCTCTCAACTCTTTAATACTAAAACATGAATTTTGACAAAGAAGGCCGCTGTGTATCATCTGTGCACTCTTTATCATTTAAGCATAACTATGATTGATACATTTCTGTAACAACTTAACATAAAAATATTCAAAATAAAAGTTCACATTAACACCATATTATTAAAATCTACGCTTTACAGCTATTTGCTACTTTCAGATTAACTTTTTATCTGTTGAATCTAATCTTTTGCGAAACTAAACGGAACCTTTTACCAGACCAGGTATATTATTTTCCTTCTTAGTTTATAAGATTCCGAGAGTAATTTAAAAGCAGCTGTTTCAAATTTGATAAAAGATAAAGGTGTTTTCTAACTTTAATGAAACAATAAAGAACAAAAAAATAATATTCATCGACAGAATTGAAATTGCCTTTCAGAAGATTCAAAGACTAATTTAAAAGCAGCTTTTTTATTTTTTATTTAAAGTGTTGATTGTTCATATTTTTTGTTTTTTGTTCTCCTTCTTCTTAAACACACGCACTTTAAAGAAGTATTTTCTGATCTAATTGACCAATTCCTTTCTCTTTATCCCTTTATCAATATTGTTTATTATTACATTTTGCTACTTTTTGCTGAAAAATTAACATAAAAAAATTCCTCAACTTTTATCAAAGTATATATTTTAAGATAAAATTTTCTAAAGTATTTCATGGTTTACTGTGTCAAAATCATAAATCATTAAACTATGGTATTGCTTGAATTGGTTACTTTAATGCTAATCACAATTAATGGCTAGGCTCTATACTACTAATGTTGCTTGCACTATATATCAGACTTGTTTTCCTGACAACTTTTAGAAGCTAGATCCTAATACTTTATCAAAAATTTTGTCATAAACAATGACCTAACATTTTATTTCAAAACAGTTTTAATAGTTTTAGAATAAAAATGTTATAAGTTAAAAGTTAAGGTACAAAGTACATTTTGTTACTTTTTCGTAAAAAATAAATATATACGTAGATCTCCAACTTGTTTTCTGATAACAACAAGTGGTGAAGCATTTGCTTCCACCAGGTGGAACTTTTTCAAGCAATCCTTGTTGTATCATTACATTAAGTTTATTTATTACTAATGGTTGTATATGAATTAAAAGGGGGCAAGATTCAAAATAACTTTGTTGCATTCCATTTTTTATTATTATATTTGCTTTATAGTTAACTAAGCGTCAACTAACAAAAGGTTCTACACTGCTTTTTAAGTTTGTTGCATTAATTTTTAATATGTCCATGCCAATCAAACCGTAATTTTTTGTACAATCTGCAACAATAATTCGTACAATATTTAATTTAGATTTAGTTTCCAGTGTTGCCTCAAACTCCCCTAAAACTTTAATAACTGTGCCATCAAATTGTTTGAGATGAAGGTAACATTTTTGTAACTTAGGTTTTGACATTAACTCCCAAAAGTTTTAAGGTATAATTGTGACCTGACTTCCAGTGTCAACTTACATTTTAATGTTGAAACCATTTATTTTGACATTAGTTTCTGAATTTGAGTCATTCATGTTAACAGAATATACACTTGCATCATCAGTCTCTACTTCATCTACTTTTCTTGCATAATCAATATTAGATTTACATACATTTTAAAAATGATTCAATTTCCCAAATTTATTACACTTTTTTCCAAATGCTGGACATTTTCGTGGTAGGTGTTGTAGTCCAAAATATTTGCATTTAAATGGTTTTTCTTTATTTTTGTAAATATAGTTGACTAAAGGGGGTTCCATATACTCGACATTGTTGTGCATATTAAATGAATATATTTCTTTGATCTGTCTTATAAAGTCCACACATGCTCCTAATTTAGGCGACTCTCCATTCTGTAGCATTTCAAGAGCCTTGACTCTGGTCGGAAGATTGAAACCCGTCAATTAGTCTCATTTGGATGGGATCATCTGCGGTTTGTCCACCCAATTTTACGAAATTACAAAAACATGCTGCCTCTTGTATTCTTTGAGTGTATAATACAACATTTTCATTATTTTATTGTTTCAAGGCTAAAATCTAACTCTTTCGGCAATTATTAGTCGCTTCTGTGGTCTTAAAGGGACTACCAAGTCCCGAGACATGTTGTGTTCATATTAAAGAGAATGTTAAAAAAAAAGGTCTCAGCAAATTTTTTTTGATTAAAACTAATTAATAAATGTATAGCAAGAAAAACAAATCTTGTTGTTTTAGTTGAAGCTTGTCTTCTCCGTTTTCTCTGGTATTTTGAGTAAGTAAAATAAACGCGATTTTCCAGGCACATTATACAGACTTGATAATTTAGTCAAGCGCGTTTAATTCATAGGAGTTTTAGTGTATGACGTCATTGGAAACATTCTAGAAATTCTTTAAAAATTTTACTCTTAAATTTTACTAAAATAGCTAACTATAGTTACTTATTTTATTTTTTAAAATCTTCACATTAAAAAATATTTTAATGTGAAGATTTAAAAAAATATAATCCAATAAAATAACACGCTGTGTCTCATCGGTTACGCCCCAAACGGGGGAGGGGGGCAATAACTTTAGGTGTTCTTTTTTTAAAATTTAATTTTTGTTTATAAAAAAATTTTTTTTTTTAATATTGTAAGTACTGTTTGGGCAATTATCTATCTTATTTTTGCCATCATATCCGTATATTTTTAAATATTCATCTAATAATCTTTATTTTTGTCATCAAAGCATATTTCTTTGACAACCAAAAAAATATGCTTTGTTTGAAAAATAATTTCCTTTTATTCTAATGTACTTCATTTTTCCTTTAAGTATTGATGTGCTTAAAAGCCACAAAACTGAAGGCTTAAAAAAACAAAGGTTTAAATTTGAAAGGTGAAAAAATAAAATAAAAAGCCTTAAAAATGGAAGTTGGAAAAAAAAAATAAAGCCTAAGAGATAAAGACTTGAAAAATAAAAATACCTGAGACATAAAACAGTCTTTTCGCGCTTAAGTCTTGTTACGCTTGCCCACATGCTCGCAAAAACTTTAGCAAAGGCATAAAAAAGCGCTTTTTAAAAAAATAAAAGTATTTTTTTTAAATTGCAACAAAACTTTTTTGTTCATTTGTTCAACTTTTATAAAATTATTTTATCTGGTATTTATTCAAAAAAAATTTTCTCTATTTTTTTTTTTAATTTAAATAGCATAAGAAAAAATATTGTAGAAGTTAAAATTGACCATCCTGCAAGTGCTTTTTTGTGCGTTGGCATTAATTTTTAAATGTTGATCTTCAACCGGTGGACTGATGAAAGGGGAGGAAAAAAAAAATCAAAGCTGGAACTAAAAGTGTTGGAAAGTTTTATAATGTTTTAAAACTGTTTAACCTATTTTCTATGTATGTAAAGTGAATTTAATCATATTGTTTTATGACAGTGACATGAGTTAATATTTTTAATTTATTTTATATAAAGTATTTTTTTTTTTAATAATTTGCAAACTGTAATGCTTCTTTTTCGTTTAGACAAAGACAAAATAATTATTTATAAATTATATTTTTTCAATGTAAAAAGTAATAATCTAATTTTTCAAGAATTTTGCTAAAAAAAATGATAAAGTTTGCAAATGAAAAGGGTTTACAGCCTTTCTTTTGATAAAGATGATCAAATAAAAAATATATTATAAGACAAATACAAGTAAAAAAACAATTAAAATATAAAAAAAAAAATTTATACTGACCTCTGAAAAAAAATTATGCTTGAAATTTTCTTACTAGTAATATTGTACAGCTATTTCAAATTCTCAAATAAAAACATGAGCATTACCAAGGTTACTAAATGCAGTCTAGTCATTAAACTCTCTAGCCATTAGCAGCCTCTAGAATATAAACTACTAGTTTTAAAACTTACAACCAGATGATCATTAAAAAAATATACATGCAATAAAAATAACAGACAGCAATAAAAATCGTGAAAATAAAAAAAAACAAATATATCAGATAGTTATGAAAAACCAAACACTAAATATGATTTCCCTCCTCATGAAATTTATTAAGAATATAATCATGATGATGATGATGATGATGATTATGATAACATGATGATGATGATGATGATGATGATGATGATGATGATGATGATGATGATGATGATGATGATGATGATGATAATGACATGATGATGATGATGATGATGATGATGATGATGATGATGATGATAATGATGATGATGATGATGATGATGATGCTGATGATGAGGACAAAATTGGTTTATTATATCAATGATATAATGTGAGGAAGATCTAATTTGATGATGAATTCATACAAGAGTTGAATTTAGTGATTGTTATGGATCATTCTGTTTTCAAAGTTTCAAAATTAAATTTTGAGATAAATAATAAACATGGTAGACAATTTAAAAAAGAATTCAATAAACAAAGTTGTAAAAATAAATATATTTACTCATAAAACTCTATAGTTCTTTCCAAAGCTTGCTGAACATCTATGGAATAATATCCAGGATCACAATTTCTGACTCTTCCTAAATGTTTGCTTTTGTATAGTAAATGTTTCTAAGATTATACAATGCTCTACCTTATCTAACTTAGAAAATTTTAATTGAGTATACAACAACATAGCAACAACAATATTTCCAAATGTATTTTATGTAATAAAGATACATACATGTATATTTTTTATTACAGTAAAATATTTGATGAAACAAAGCATAAAATATTTAATGAAAGACATTAAAAATTTAATAAAACAATTGTGGGAAGTATTTTTCTGATGGCTGTGCAATGAAACTTTAAAACTTTCAAAACTTATCTTTCAATTTATCTTATCACAGCATAGACTTTGATTTAAATGCTGAATGAGTATTTTTTGCTACCAGCTATGGCAAATCTTTCTGTGATGGTATTTTTGCGACTGTTACAATAGTAGTTTGTCAAAAACGTAAATTCAAAATAACAGGCATTTGTTTTCACTTACTTTTAAGGGAATTGACAAGAACAGTTTCAAAACAACAATGATATCATTTTATTCCTATTAGTTCAAATACAATAAGTTATAGAAAATAAAAAGTGAATACATGAAATCATTCCAAAAAACAAAAATAAGGAAGTGATTTCACTTAACATTAAAAAAATTGGACTATACTGTATGGTTTTATAATGAATTTAGTGGATAGAGATTGTAGAAGATGCAAGTGAACTTGGTATTAAATTCAGATTCATGCATCCATATAGACCATTAAAAAAAAAATTCTGCCAATGAGAAATGGTATTTTTTTAAAAACTTAAAAACAGCATTATTTTTGGGGGCTTACTTTGATCTATATATATCTCAACAGCACATGTATATTTTATGCTAAAATACTTGTAGTTATTATTTATTTAATAAAGACTGCAAAAATAAACAAATCTGAAATGTAAAAGTGACAAAGATTTTGTGTGTGGATGATATCATATGGAACAGGGTGTCTACCAATATTCAAAGGTGGATTTCCCTGATTTTTTCCTTATCCGCTTGTTTTCCTAGATAAAATTTAAGTTACCCAAACTCAACTTAAGTTGAGTTTGGATAACTTAACGTTCAATTTTATATAACAGATAGTTTTATATAAAATTTTTTGAACTTCTCAATACTTTAAACGTATGTTGTATTGTTCTTTATATTTTTTGCAATTAAAGGGAATTTTTCTAAAATAATTCAAGTCTAATTTTACTTAAGTTGAGTTTGGGTAACTTAAATTAAATCTGGGAAAATAAGTTATAAAATAATACTTAAGTTACCCAAACTCAACTTTAGTAAAATTAGACTTTAATTCTTTTAGAAAAATGCTCTTTAATTGCAAAAAATATAAAGAACAATACAACATACGTATAAAGTATTAAGAAGTTCATAAAACTATCTGTCATATAAAATTTAACGTTACGTGTACAATAAACAACTTTATCTAGTTTGACTAAAAGTAAGATTGACTAGGAGTTATTATCTTTGATTTCTTACTAATTTTTTATAAACTTAACCCAATTTCTCTGATCTAGCAGACATTCTGTGGAATGACCCATCATTTAAAAACAATTTTTTTTATATTTACAGTTGTTATATGTTTGCTACTATAGGTTTTAATCGGTTTAACCTACACTTTAATGCAGTTATAACGCCTTAACAAGGAATTTTACAAAAGTCTGCAAAAACAAAACAAAAAGGTACTAAAATTAGAAATAGGTGAGTATCAATAGTGAAAATATAAGTTAATCAATCTAAACCCAAGAATTTTTATAAGTATATTATTACCTAATGATTTTTAATTACATAATTACAAACAATTTAATATTGAATTTTCGGTCTTTGGATAAAGATTTTGTTATTGACTTAGAAAAAAAGCAAGATAAATTTATTTATTTATTCTTTTTATCAAACTCTTTTCAAACCCTTATTCCAACATTAAACATCCGTGACGTTTAAAAACTGGGATATGTAGAGGTTAGGCAAATTGGGATATATAGAGATGAGCGCATCGCAGCGTACATTTATCTACTGGTTTATTTATATACATATATCTACTGGTTTATTTAGCCATAGGCACGCTGAGTGGGCGCGCCCACGCTACTAGCGCTACTCAACTTTCTCCCCCCCCCCCCTGTTTTTATGATTGATTTTTATAGAATACATGATACTGATTCTAAATCAAATAAAAACATAGATGTGAAAACTTAAGGAAAGTACTCTAATTTGATGTTAAAGTATAAAAATCCACATTAAAATCGCTAATATTCAACCATCTCTTAAAAAACATTTTACCACTGTTTTCAAAATTTAAGAAATTAATATTTTAACTACGCGACACGATTTTTATTTTCGCTTTCATATTTTTAAATGTACATACATCGACTGACATATAGAGATTGGCGTAAATAAATATAGAATCATCGAATGACAAATAGGAATCGGCGTAAATAAATGTACATACATCTACTAACAAATAGGGATTGGCGCAATTAAATGTGCATGATTTGAGTCAGGGTTTGGTTGGGGCAGGAAATCAATAAGAAATGCATTTTAAATTAAAGTATCGCTTATAATTCTTTATTTAGTCTACTATGAAAATAGTGAAACTTGTTTATATTTATGAAAAATGGTGAAGAGTGTTTATTAATGTTTTACAAGTTACTTATTAATATCTGGGAAATCCATACAATTAAAAAATATTTAGATTTCCCAGAGACAAAGAGAAAAAAACACATCAAATAAAATGTTTACCAAATGCAAGTTTTAAAATGTCCAGCAACATAATCTGGTTGGCATCAAAATTTCAAAAAGGTTATACTTAAATAACATTTTGCACAATTTTTCTCACAGATAGATTGCTTGTTTTTTCTAAAATTGCAAGAAACTTTCTACAACATTTTTTTTTCTACTTTAAAATTTATACTAGAAACTGTTATTCTCTATGGCAAGGTGTATGTTACAAAAATGTTATTGTATTTTGTAATTTATTGTAATTATTTGTTTTATAAGGTCTCTGCATTGAAATAGTCTTGTACTATTTCCATTGTCCCGTCACAAAAATATCATTGTAATATTTATATTATATTGCAAACGGTATCTATTTTTGTGAAAAATATATTGATTAATTGATTGTATTAGGAAGTTACAGTTTTTTGAAAACCAATGAAATGAATTCTCTTTCAAAAAGTGTTTTAAATGTTATGATAACTTGTAATACAAGTAGTATGTTTGATTGTTCTAAATTTCTTTTGAAAATGTTGTGAAAAACAAATAAATTCCTAATTTTTATGTGATCAAACTCTAGAATCAGTAAAAGAGTCAAATAGCAAAGCAAAGAAAATTATATGTGATAAACACCTTACTTTAACATTTTATGAAAAACCTTGGTTAACTACAAATGGAATTCTTGTTGCTTGACTTTAGTCCACGTTTTTAAAAACATACAAAATAATTGAATCAGAAAGCAAAAAAAAATTTTATTTTTAGTCACAACGCTCTTCTTAATCACCTTGAAACTTCTAACATCTCAAGTGTTAACAACACTGGTGATTACATTAAAGTCACATTATGGAAAACATTTAATCTAAAAAGTGTGAGCATATAATTCAGGTTCAATAATGATCAGAAATGTAAATGCTAAACAGAAAAAGTTTGTTTTGGATTTCGGCAATACTCCATAATGCATAAAAAAATCGGAAAATAGGCATAATATATCAACACATGTCACAAATAGTTTCACAAACAATACACGTGAAGGAAATAGTCGCTGATTAAAACCTAATTAAGTGAAACACTTTATTTACAAATCTGTTATGTTAGGAAAATTTGTTTCAGAATTGCTAGAATCAGAATTTATAAATTTAAGAAAAGTATCTCTAGACGTATTTTTTAGGTGTTCTTTAAAACCAAATATGTCACTCGTTGACGTTAACATGTATTTTGAATTTATGATTTGCTTAACGAATATGAAATTTTGACCAGTATGTTTTCTTTTTTAAACTTTAGCCAATATTCAACATCATTTGAAATAGGTGGATTAAAAAGTCCTTTTGGCAATACTGTTCAATGGCTTTTCTTTAACTAGATTGAAGATGAAGTTTGTTTGACTTCCATAATCAATATGCTTTTATGCTTTTCTGCATTATTGTATTAAAATTGTGTGTTATCTTAACAATATATTTAAACCCGCTTTTTTTAAGGGCATCTTCATGTTTTGACACAAGTTTAGAAATTATTTTTGCGTTTATAAATATTTTAATAAGGGATCGTCGATAAATTACGTAACGCAAAATTTCACAGTTAACAAAACAAAAAATGATTAAAAGTTTTCCCTCGCAGAGTCTTAATTTAAATAAATAATCAAAATAGGATTTTTAAATAGGATATTTAAAATAGGATATTTAAAAAGTTAAATAAAAATCGCTGTGTAAAAGAGCCTAATATCTCCTACTTCTGTTTTCAAATATTTTTTGGGTTGAGTAATTTATGGACGATCCATATGAAAAGTTATGAACCAGCCTGTGATTTATTACGCATTACTTTTAACAGTCATCAGCGATGACGGTTTAAAAGAAATGCGTAACAAACTAATCAATCAAGTCTATATCATCACGATATAGAATTGATTGATTAATTTTTATTGTTTTAGTAAATTTCTGCTCCGGTGAAACTTCGCATTGTTAAATCAAAACATTTGTATGTTTTATTTTCCATGTCTCTTTATTAAAATATAGTATATAAATTTTCCTGCAATGTGTTATTAAACGAAATGTGTCCTCTGTAATTTCTGTGTGGATTTTTGCAATTTCAATTGCGTTATCTAAAATTTCTTGTGTAATTAATAGGTAAAAGCCATTAATATCAAATTGAGTAAATATACATTCATTTTTATTGCTAATTTTAGAAAACAATTTATAAAGTCAGTGGTATTTTTCAACTGATGCAAACTAAATTTTTTTCAAACAATATTAATTTTGTCTATTTCAATTTGACCAAGGTGCCCAAGTTCTTTTTATTGATATTACTTGGTAAAATTTTAAAACTGTTAGTTTTAAAATTTTACCAAGTAATATCAATAAAAGCATAGTAAAGTTTTATCATCTGGTTTATAGTTTGTTACAATCGTTGTTATTTT